ACCTTGTGGGGCAGCTCTGAGGATCTGGGGCCTGCTGTGGAACCAGGAGCAGCCCAGGGTGTGCTCAGGCCCTGGGGGCTGCAGAGCCCTCTGCCCCGGAGGGCTGGGAAGCCACAGGCACATCCCCGGAGAGCCTGGCTGGCACTGCTGGGGCTGCTGGTCTCGGAGGCTGCCTGAAATCCTTCCAGTCAGCCCGGACGGCCCCTCAGGAGCAGGGCTGAGCCATGCCCGAGTGCCAGCCCTGATGGCAGGGCCCAGCAGAGCTGTGCCTTCATCTGGGCACTGGCAGATTCCAAGCTCATCTGCCCTCTTCCTCCTGCGGTCCCTTTCTAGAGGGGCAGCAGCAGGGGCTGGCCCACAGGGTTTCCTCTCCCCGGGGGCGGGCAGCCCCTTGCCCAGCCGTCCCTCTCAGGCCCCCTCTGCAGAGCTGCTTTCCAGCCGGGCACCCCCGGCGTGTCCCGGAGCCCGGCGCTGATCCTGCCCAGGCCCGGCGGGGCCCTGCGGCCGGGCCGGGCCATCCCGGGCAGGAGCAGCCCCCGAGGCGGGGGACACACAGGCACAGGGGGACACGGGGAACCCACGCCGGGCACGGGGCCCTCCTGTCCCCACTCCCGCAGAGCCGCGCCCTGTCCCAGCGGAGGAAGGACATGAGCCCACAGCACTGTCTCGGCTGTGCTGGGGAACTGATATTGCAGGGATGCTTGTCACCGGGTTGTGGCAATAAAATGTTGCTGAAAGAAGCAGGCAACAGGGACTGGACTCAGGTTTTTGCTTGTAGGAAATACTATAGAGCAAGCAGGACTTCTTTCAGTTTTTGTTCAAGGCGTGTTTTCTAAAGTTTCTGAATAACTGAAATATTTTATTTGTCTGGGATTAAAAATGTAGAGAAATTATTATCATAGAAGCATAGATCTCAAGTTGGAAGGGACCCATAAGGATCATGGTACCCCTCTCCTGCTCCTCTCAAGACTGTCTGAAACTAAACCGTGCGACTAATAGCATCAGCCAGATGCTCCCTGAACTGTGGCAGGTTTGATGCCATTCCTACTTTCTCTGAGGAGCCTATTCCAGGGAACAACCACTCTTTCATTGAAGAAGCTTTTCCTAATGTGCAACCTATGCTTTCCTTAATGCGGCTTCATCCCATTCCAGGGACCGAAAAGCTCTCAAAGCAGAGATACCAGTGGTTGTGTTCAGTGGTTATCTCTCCTCGTACCAAAGAGAGAGAGCCTGCAGCCTTCTATGGAAAGCAGAAAAAAGAAGGGAAAAAGAAAAACCATGCAACTACCTTTGAGAAAGGTACTTCTTAGGCGGGAAAGAGTTCTTAAGCCAAACAAGCCCTAGTCTCCTCATTGCAAATCTTCCAGAAGGGTATCTACACTTACAGGGTGAAACCTTTGTACAACTTTTTACAAGTTATGTTTTGTCAGCTTATTGTTTAGTATTCAGAAATGTTTGTCAAGAGATAGTATGAAGATAAATTAGGAATGGTAAATTAAGTGAACAATGAATGAAGAACATGAAGTAAGAGCAATGAACAAAAAACGATTAAATAAGACAGGAAAGAGGAACAGGAAAGAAGAACAAATAATTAAGAACATTATTAAAGAACAGGAATGAAGAACTAAGAACATAAATTAAACTTGGTTCTCCTCCTTCTTCACTTTTTTCATCGGAGATTCCACTCCAGCTGGAGACCTTGGCTGTGGATGGTGTCCTCTGTATGGGGGGAGATAAAAACATGATGAAGTTAATTCAAAGGACCCACTCAGCCTGCCCACTGCCTCTGTGCGACCGGCTACTCCAGAGCTCTGTGCTCTGTCGTGGTTTGAGGCCCTTCCCCTCCTGGAGCTGGAAGATGGCTAGTTCCAGGGGTGGCATTTTCGGTGCTGAGCCAATGGGAAGCTTGAAACACCTCTGCAGAATTACATATTTGCTGGAACTGGAAAAGAAGCTTGTGGCGTAGTTGGAATTAAAAGCAGGAGACAGCAGAGGGGCTGGTGGGCCCCCACGGGGGCCAGGGGCTTTTTTCCTCCCCTGGCCCTAGCCCGGGGAACCCAGCATGGCTTTGTAGCTGGGCCGGGTGCTGGGCTAAGACCACGCCGGCCCCCCCACTGCCAGCGAGAGGTGGAGGCACGGGGGCCTGAGCAGCCAGCCAGGGGCTGGATCCAGGTCCCCAGCGGGCAGGCACGGGACTGGAGCCAGGCCAGCATGGGCCAAGGGGTGGCCATGACCCTGGAGAGGCGGTGGCAGCACACGGTCACGGAGTAGCCCGGGACGGGCTGGAGTAGCAGCCATGATGCCAAAGCAGGAGCAGCACTCAGTATGTGGAGCAGAGACGGGCCGAGGGAGCCTGGAGGTGTCCTGTGAGCTAGACCAGGATGGCCAGACCCTGAGTTCGCAGCAGCCAAAGCAGCTGAAGCAGAGAGCAGCAACAAACCTCTGCTGAACAGAGAGAGAGAGAAAAGTCTGCTGAAAACGTTCTGGGGTAGGAACTGAGTCAAAAACCCCAGAACCCTTTTGACCCAGGGAAGAGTGGCCCCCAGATTTAGGGGAACTCCCAAAACTTCCCGTGGAAGGAACCTCCATGAAGCAGAGAATAAAGACTTTAAGCTTTAATCCCCTGTACTCCGTGGTGAAGACATGGTGACATGAGTGTTCTCTCGAAGCCCATGGTAAAACCCTCAGTAGTGTGGCCGAGTGGTGAGAGGTGAGGGTAGACCCCCCTGCATTCTGATAAAGAGAGAGAGAGAAGATTTTCCAGCTACTGTGAATTGGAACTGTGGTCCTGAGAGTAAAGGAGAGACTTCTTCTCCTGGACTTTATGGGGGGAGGAAGAGGTGATGTTTGTAAATATATTGTTTCATCATCATAGGAGAAATAGTTAGGATTGTTGTATATATTACTTTATAGTTTTTATTCTGTTAGCAATAATTTTGATATAATTTCCCCATGCAGAGTTTGTTTGCCTGCGTGAAAGTTCTCTCAACCTTAGAGCAAATTTGTGGGGGTTTGAAAAATTGGCCTTGGGTCAAACCACATCATGATCCAAGAGCATTCCCACCTGGAGCCATGGGTGAGTATAGGGCTGGGAAGAGGGGGGATTCTTGCCAGCAGTGGGGGGAGCACAGGTAGGGCAGCCCAGCAATAGGGAGAGGCTCCATGCACACTGATGGGGAGCAGTGGCACCAGTGCCCTCCTGGGAGCACCAGCAGCTTGTCCCCTGCCTTCTGGCTCACCCCAGCCAGTCCCCTGCTCCAGGGGCCAGGAGTGAAACTTGGCTCAGTTGGTTGTTGGGTGCTTTGCTCCACCCAAAACCACCCCGTGCTTGACTTGCCGGGAGCAGATCAAGGGGGAAAGGCAAGGTTGCCTACCCCTTGAGCAAGCCTTCCAGCTTGCAGGAAGCAGCCTGATGCTGCCCAGCATTCTTGGTGCTCTCCTGCACCTCACAGGGTCGTGTTAACTGCGGTGCTGGAGCCATGGGATGTCCAGTCTCTCTGCAGGGAGGGCCCTGTTTCATCTTTTCTCCGTTTTGTCCCTTTCTAGCAGCCCAGTGCCTTCTGCTCCTTGCTTCCCTGCTGCTTTTGGCTGCTCCAGGCCACTGTGTGCATACAGAAACCCTAAACATCTGCAAGAAATCTCCCTCCAATGCTTCGGCGAGTGCTCTGAAGAAAACCAGTAGGTAGCATCCCATGGGCATCTGGTGTGGTGTGCTTGTGTACAGCCAGCTCTGGGTGGGAAAAAGCCCTGAACCATCCCTAACCCTGGCCCGGTTCCAGGAGAGAGGATGGTAAGGATGTAGCTGTCATTGAAATTTGGGAATAAAGCTCCCTAACACCAATGTAGTATTAGGGAGCAAGCACTACTTTATTATAGAGCAGAACTATGGCCTTGGCTGCACCAGGAATAGTTCCAATTAAGTGCATGCATGGCTCAAGACGGTGAGTGTATTTATTAGCCAGAGATACACATATTCATAAGAAAAACAAATTGTTATTTAAGGTAGTCAGAGAGGTGGAACTTGTTACTTTAGGCACCCACAGAGACCCTAAACAGGACTGGGTCACCTTAAATTGTCTCTGAGCTCTCTACATTCCATCAACTGTCATTTCTGCATAATTTGCAACATTTTCAGCAATGTTTTATTGCCATAACCCTGTGACGAGCATCCCTGCAATATCAGTTCCCCGGCCCAGCCGAGACAGTGCTGTGGGCTCATGTCCTTCCTCCGCTGGGACAGGGCGCGGCTCTGCGGGAGTGGGGACAGGAGGGCCCCGTGCCCGGCGTGGGTTCCCCGTGTCCCCCTGTGCCTGTGTGTCCCCCGCCTCGGGGGCTGCTCCTGCCCGGGATGGCCCGGCCCGGCCGCAGGGCCCCGCCAGGCCTGGGCAGGATCAGCGCCGGGCTCCGGGACACGCCGGGGGTGCCCGGCTGGAAAGCAGCTCTGCAGAGGGGGCCTGAGAGGGACGGGTGGGCAAGGGGCTGCCCGCCCCCGGGGAGAGGAAACCCTGTGGGCCAGCCCCTGCTGCTGCCCCTCGAGAAAGGGACCGCAGGAGGAAGAGGACAGATGAGCTTGGAATCTGCCAGTGCCCAGATGAAGGCACAGCTCTGCTGGGCCCTGCCATCAGGGCTGGCACTCGGGCATGGCTCAGCCCTGCTCCTGAGGGGTCATCCGGGCCGGCTGGAAGGATTTCAGGCAGCCCCTGAGATCAGCAGCCCCAGCAGTGCCAGCCAGGCTCTCCGGGGATGTGCCTGTGGCTTCCCAGCCCTCCGGGGCAGAGGGCTCTGCAACCCCCGGGGCCTGAGCACACCCTGGGCTGCTCCTGGTTCCACAGTAGGCCCCAGATCCTCAGAGCTGCCCCACAAGGTGCCACGGGACCAGCACTGGCCACAGGGCACGATGTGCTCAGCGTGGTGGCAGAGAGACAGGAGGGAGGAGAAAGGTTGAGGAGCATCAGGGAGCCTGAGGAAGAGAAAGGCTGGTGGGAGCAGGCTTTGTCTGCAGTTTGAAGGTTTTTTATTAACCTAATAAAACCCAAAAATTCATCTTTTGTAGGGTAATTTTAACACACTTCTGTGTGTGCTGACAAGATGTTCCTTATTGAGCACTGGGCACCAAGTCCTGTCCGACTTCTTGGGGGCAGGTGATGTCTAGCGGAGCAGAGGTGGCAGGACAAGCTCTGGTGCCCCGGAGATGAGGCTGCGGGTCGTGGCTGGTCGGTGGTCCCGTGAGGTGGAAGGGCCTGGGGGCGAGGGGTAAGGGTGAGTTTCCCACTTCCCAGAGGCAGCCCCTGGCTGGGGCAGCGCTGCCAGCCCAGGACGTGGCAGGCAGCAGGGACACCTGCCTGTCCAGAGACCCCCAGAGTTGGGGGTGCTGGTCCCCACCCACCAGCACACAAGCTGTTGTCCCACACTGGCCAGGGCCATCCCCCCACTTTGCTCCACCTCCATCCCCAGTCACCCCATCCACCAGTCCTCCTGCTCCATCCTGTTTCTGCCTCTTCATCCCACCCCTGTCCTCCATGGCAGCCTGCCCAGTTCTGCACACACAGCCCTACTTGCCCGCCAACCCTCTCCCCAACAGACAACTCCCTACCACCCACAACATGGCACACTGAAAGGGCCATACACAGCTCACCATCTGCCCTGTCCATTGTAAGAGGCTGGTCCTCCCAGCCTTGGAGGATTTTGCTGCTCCTGCCCAGCAGCTTGGTCACACTAGTCTGGGAAGGAGAGAGCGGCTGGTTGCAACATGGAGCCCAACTCATCATCCCCCAGCAACCCTCCCAACTCAGCTCTCCCTGGGGCACCTGAAGGCACAGATTCCCCCTGCATACTCAGCCTCACCCTCCCAGCCTCAGTCACACCTGCTGTGTCCGAGCCTTCCCTACCTTCTTGGGAAGTGCCACGAGGCCCTGCAGCCGCCCACTGCTCAGGGGGGAAGCCTGGATGCGCTGCCCAGGGCTTCTGATGCTCTGATAGTCCATGGTGATTGGTGGCACTCGGGAGATTCTGCCATTGATTGTTGTTCTCCTGTGGGATGGGCACAGGGATGCTCAGTGCCCGGCACCGTGGCATCCTGGGCTTCACCCTCCTGCAGCAGGGAGGGGACCAGGGGGTGCTCCCTGGTGGCACGTGTCCCTCCCAGCTCCCCTCCACCTGCTGCAGGACACCCAAGCCCATCCCATGGGGCTGGATCTGCTCTTTGTTTCCCCACAGCCAGGTGAGCTGACCATGGCCATGGAAGGCCCCTGTGCACAGGACAGCAGCAGGCAGGAGCTGGGCTTGGTTGTGGGAATTGCTTTCACAGGAGGCATCCTACTCCACCCCAAGCCTGAGCTCAGGCAGAGACCAAACACAACTTCTTCCAGTGCCTTCAGAGACCTTGAGGCAGAGTCCTGGGCTAGACAGGGGAGTGGAAGAGGGGCTATGAAGCCTGCCAGACCTGGGGCAATCACTGGCCCTCCACAGTTCCCTCTCTGCTTCCCTGCACTAAGCAGGCCTACCAGTGCCCTCTGCCCCCATGCAGGGAAGAGCTCTAGCTCTCTTTGACAGGGCAGGGCTATCCTTCTCCCCAGGAGCCAGGGATGTGTCCTCAGGTCTCCTACCTTTGGCTGTGTTGTGCATCCTTGATGGGGGGCAGTGGTTGAAAATATGGGAGTGTCTCAGGATACCTGTGGAGGGCAGAAACCACGGGTTGGTGACAGGGGACAAACCACTCATGCCTGCTGGGCTGCCGGCAGCCCTTGGGGACAAGGCCTCACACTCCGTCCTGATGGGCAGGACTGAGGAGGGTGCTCAGCAGGGTCAGACCCTCCCAAGCAGACACCCTCACCCCTGTGCCTGGCACAGAGGGTCACCCCTGGCAGCCATTGAGCCCCATCCCACTCACGCAGCCCCCCCAAAGCAGAGGTGATACTCACGGGCCAGGAACCAGTGTTTTGACCGGGCGGTCACAGGACAGGCACGTGAAAGGGACTGGCAGCTGCCTAAGGAGGGGGAGACAAAAGGGCTGGCTGAGCTCCTGGGGGGACACAGCCCTGCCCACCCGCAGGCAGCGGCTCGCTGGCAGCAGCAAGGTGCTGGGCACGGCACTGCAGGGAGTCACGGCGTCTGCAGGGCCAACCGTGGCTGTGGGGCCTGGTTTCTCCCCATTCCCCAACCCACTGGCCGGTGCCAGCTGAAGGGCACAGGGCCCACGCTGCCATCCCAAGCAGCCCTTGCACTGCTTGCAGTGCTTCAGCAGCACTAATGACCCCCCTGTGCCTGGCCAGGAGGGCAGGGCACCACCCAGCCCTGGGGCTCTGCATGTCACACCCCTGCCAGGGGAAGGAGTGCCCATCTCCCAGCCTTGCTTCTGGAAGCCTTTGCAGCCACAGCCCCCTTTGCTTTGGGAGGGCTCTGTCCCACAGTCGCCCCCTCCTCGTGCCTCCTGTCCTGTGCAGAACCTGCTGCTGGTGGAAGGAGAGGGTGCAGCTGCTTCATCAGCATTGCCACGGTTTGTTTGGTGGCTAAATTGGTGCAGTGCCAGGGTACCACGTGGGCACTGTCTGGGACAGCTGGAGGGAACAGCACCATCGCTGTCCCCAAAGCCATTGCCATCCCCATCCCACTCACTTCCTCAGCCCAGCGGCGCTGTCACTCTCTGCCATCTTCTTCTCGAGCTCTTTGATGCTCTTCTGCCAGGTCTCCTCCATCTGCTCATGGAAAGCCTTCAGCTCCCCGCGATCCAGCTGTGGACAGGTGCACACCCTCAGCCAGTTGCCCCGGCATGGGACATGGCTGTCTCCAGGGAAAATCCAGGAGTGGGGGACCCTCAGAGGGATGCTGCCTCAGGCTGCCAAGACCCAAAGTTCCCAGTTTTGCACACTGTGGATGAGGCACTCCTCACCTTGTTTTCTATCCTGTGGCTGAGCTTCTCCTGCAGCTCGTTCCAGTGCTCATTCTGTCCCAACACCTGACTTTGCATCTTCCGCAGCCTCTGATCCAGCCGCTCCATGCTCGCCTCAAACTGGGTGCAACTGACTTTGCTACCCAAGGCAGATTTCTGGCAGAGGAGAAAGGCAGGAGTGAAGAGGGGAAAGGCAGTAGTGAAGAGGGGAAAGGGTTGAGGAATGACAGGCAGGGCCAGGGTGTGTCAGGGGCAGAGGGAGAAGCACTCCCTCCGTGCTATCGTGCCCCTTTCAGGGCAGGGTGGCCCCATTCACCCCATCACCCCCATGGGGTTGTTCCCACCCGTGGAGGGACAAGGGACCTGCACTTGGTCTGGAAATCCTCCCTCTCCCAGACCACTTTTGCCAAACAGCCCCCAAGGCACAAGGGGCACTTGTCACCCTGCCCAGGAAGCCCTGGGTTGGCACAGAGGGCCCTCGAGACTGTACCACATCCATTGCTGTCAACATGTTCTGCAACATTTTCTGCTCATCTGCTTTCTCCCTCTGCAATTTCTCCAAGGACTGGAACAGCATCTTTCAACACAGAAAGCATCCCATGACATGGCAGCAGGGCTGGAGCTGCCTCCTGGTCAGCTGAGCAGCCCCTGCTCCCCCTACCAAAATCCTCTGGGAAACGCCCTTGGAACCTGCTCAGGGCTGTGAGCAGGTCGGCTGGGGGACAGATTCCTTGTGGTCCCCTGGCTGGAGTGTGCCTGGGAGATGCTCTGACCCCACAGGACTTTCAGGCACCCACCTCAATAGCTTTCTGCTTTTCCTCACAGTCCTTCTGGAGGTTCCCTGAGACCAAGCTGAGCTCCTCACAGTCCCCTTGAATCTTCCTGACCCTGTCCTCCATGTCCTCCATGTGCTGCAGGAGCTGCTGATCCTGCTCCAGGGAGGAAGAAAAGATGATGGGGAGTCTGGTTCCACGAGTCCTCAGTGTCAACAGGACATTTGCACCCAGGCTTTAATTTCCTTCCATGCTGCTGACTGGTCCAAGCCAGTCTGGGGGCAGTGAGGGGCTCCCAACATTTTACAGCAAAGCACAGCCAGCCAGGGAATGCCATCAGCCCACTCCCAAGTCCCCTGGGGTGCCAATTCCCTACCTGGTTCCTTGGCTTCATGACATTCTCCACCTTGCTCACAGCTATCTGCCGTGACTCCAGGGAGTCCACCTCCTCCTCGAGTTTCTCACAGCGCTGGACGAGCTCCCCCAAAAGCACTTTGTAGTCGAAGGTGCAGTTGGAACACGCTGCCTTCTCCGTCTCCTCCTCCTGCTCCTCCTGCTCCTCCTGCACCGTGCCCATTGCCTCCTCCAGCTCGCCCAGCTGCAGGAAGGGCAGAAGGAATCTGCTCAGAGATGGGATGGATGCAACCAGCACACCTGGTTGCCGTGGGACTCGATGGCCCCAGCCAGATGGGGGATGTGGCTGGAACCCTCTCAGGACCCCTCCACTGAGCTGGCGGGTGGTGGGAGTGCTCCCCCAGCACCTCACCTTCTCCTGCATCTGGTTGGTCGTCTCATTCACCATCTGCTCCAGCATGGCATTCCTCATCTCCTGCTGCTCCTCCATCTTCTTGAGTTCAGTCTTTGTCTCCTGCAGCACGGACCTGGCCAGCGAGATGGGGGCAGGGGCAGGCTTAGCCTCCCCAGGGCTGGTTGGGCAATGTCCCTTACCCCCAAACCAGGATGCTCCAAGGCCCTCTGGGCTTCCTTGAAGCCCTACAGAGTACAAAACCCTCTCCCATCCTCTTACTCCAGTTGCTGAGTGATCTGCTCATTGGTCTCTTCTTTCCACTTCGCCATATCTGCCCTCAGCTTTCTCATGTCATCCTCCATCTTCTTCATCTGGGAAGGGCAGTGGTGGCAGAGTCAGGGCACAGACCTCATGTTGTCCCAGCACGAGGGCCCTTCAGCTGCAAGGGCAGACCCAGGGCCCCACACCCTGTCCCTGGCTCGACCCCAAATCCCCAGCTCAGGTAGCCACACTCAAATATCCCACAAGAGCCCAAAGGTGACACCAGCCAGCAGCTCACTGATAAAAGCATCTCTCTCATCTTCTCTGCCATGTGGGACTGTGTTGTCTTAATCATACCAATCTCCTCCCGAAGATCCTGGCAGTCAGCCATGGCCTAGGAGAGAGGGGTGGTGGGGGTGAGTCCCAGGGGAGGGTCCCTGGGGACCTGCAGGACCTTCCCCCTGCCGTGGTGTGCCCAGCACAGGGGACAGTGCAGGTCAGGCTCAGCCAGGCTGGCAGGGCACTGCGGGCAGCACTCTCCATGCATCCAGCAGGGTCAGGGCTGCTGAGCCTGTGGCCAGCAGAGCCGAGGCCACTGGCTGCTGCCTCAGAGCCACAAGTGTCTGATGGCAGCAGTTCACCTGGTCAAGCTCCTGCTGGATCTTCTGGACCTCCTGGACCTCCTGGACCTCCTGGACCTCCTGGACCTTCTGGACCTCCTGGACGTCCTGGACCTCCTGGACCTTCATGTCCTCTGCTCTGTGGGGCTGTAGGAGAAAGGGGTGTCAGAGATGAGCCCCTGGGGAGTGTCCCTGGGGAACGCGACCTTCACCCCCACTGTGCTTCCTGGATCCTTGGCACATCTTTGGTCTCATCACTCTCCTCGTGTAGAGCCTGAGAGACAGTCTAGGAAAAAGGGTTCTCAGGGGTGAGTCCCCCGAGACCCCCAGCCCTGCCCTGGGGAGCCCATGGCACAGGCAGGGTCAGCAGGGAGAGCCCCAGTGCCGCCTGCCCGAGCCAGGCTCTGTGCCAGAGCACTGAAGTCCATCCCAAGGGCCAGGAAGCTCTGCCAGCGGCCCAAGCGCTGCCTGGGCAGTGAGGGCAGAGTCAAGCACTGCTGAGGAAGTGGGGAGGGACTGACTGGTGAGGGAGCACCAGGGGCTCTGGGAAGAGCCACTACCTCAGACATGAGTTTCTTATAGGATTCCATGTCCTGTTTCATTTGTTTTACATCAGCGGCCAACTCAGCCAGTGAGGGGCCACTCAGCTCGCCCGTCCACGGCTCCTGGGCCGTCAGGTACTGCACGTCCAGGTGCCCCAGCACGGCCTGCAGCAGTTTCCTCATGGCCGCAAAGTGGACGGCTCCATTCTGGGGCATCCCGATGGCGAGATCCAGCAGCTGGGAGAGGCTGAGAGTGTCCAAGGGAGTCGCCATGTCTGCAAAGACAGCCTTCCCCAGACAGGATCTGCCAGGGATGAGCAAAAGGGATGGTAAAAGGGATGACCAATAGGGTGGATAAAATGGTTGAGCAAAACAGTTAATCAATCGTATTAGCAAAAGCGATGAGGAAGCGGGTCAGTCGCCAGAAGGCTCCTTCCTCCTTCCTCGGCCCTCGAAGGACTGGGGCCTGCGCTACACGTGCCCCTCTTCATCACAACTCCCGTTGCCAGGCAACGGTCCCACCCCACCCCCAGGACACAGTGGGTCACAGAGCCATGGAGACATGAGGTCATAGAGTCATGAGGTCATAGAGCCATGAGGTCATAGAGTCATGAGGTCATAGAGTCATGGAAAGGTTTGGACTGGAAGAGACATTAATGCTCATCTCATTTCAGCCCCTACCAGGGACAGAAATAATGACACCTTCCACTATCCCAGGTTGCTCCAAGCCCCATCCAACCTGGCCTTGAACACTTGCAGGGATGGGGCAGCCACACTTTTCTCTGGGAAACCTGTGCCAGTTTCTTGGTCTGTTTCAAGGCAACTCACACTCAGCTCTTGGTTTCTTCTTGCATTGTGGAGCAGGGAATAAGCCTGGCTTTGCTGTGCCACTGAACTGTCAGTGTGAGTTGGCCCGGGCAGGACACAGGAACCCCCACAAAACCACAGATGAAATGCAAAGAGTTCATTCGTGTCTGTTCCTCACCAACCGAGGGATCCCCAGAGCAGCACCTGGGCAGAGGCACCGTGGAGCTCAGTCCCTGTGAGACAATGGCCAAACCTGCTCTTTTCCCCTGGGCTTCACACTTTGATCACTGTGTGGTTTTTGCACAGCAAACCCAAGATCTGCTTTGGAGCCACTGAAGCAATGGGGTTCTGTTCCTCTTTGAGGAGGTGCAGGAGGAGCCCTGTGAGCACCTGTGTGAGCTATTGGGTTGTTGAGGTATAGAATCCTTTCTCCTCTGGGCTTCAGGGCAAAGAGTCTCCGTGGGTGAAGCCTTTGTACAACTTGCTCCAAGTGAGCTTTTATGTCAGCTTTACAATCCATGAAGAAGCCAATGAAATGATTTCTCCTGCCAATGTCTCCCAAGACTGTGATAGAAAAAAAATTAAGTTCTTCCCTTCAACACCCACTGTCCACCCTCCAGCACTGGCCTCAAGTCCTGACCCTGGGGCACAATGAGCCTGGTGGCAGAGAGACAGGAGGGAGGAGAAAGGTTGAGGAGGATCCTTGAAGGATGAGGAACTGACTTAGCTGTAACTCAAGTCTTCAACTGAATAAATGAACAATAATAATGGACTCTCTTCTTTCCTGGAAGAGCTTTGGACATGTTTCAGTGACCAAAGGGGCTCCAACAGAGCTGGAGAATGACTTCGGACAAAGGCCTTTGTCATGGGTTTACCTGTTCTAAAAAAACAAACGAGAATTTTCTTTCCACTGCTGCAATGTGGGGGAGGGATGTTGAATGGGAAGGACAGTTTTCTGCCTTGGGTGATTGACCTACACAAAGGAGCTGGCTGGCAGAACTACGTTCCAGGCTGACAGCCCTCTCTAAGGTTGGGGAGGGGGTGAGGAGTTTTTCTCCCCTCCTCTCCTTGGATAGGGGCACTTCACTTTCTGCCTTAATGGGGGCAAGGGTTGTGTGTGTGTTGGAAAAGCTCTGAGGTCGTTTTGCTCTCGACCTGGTCATCTGGCTGCCCTCCAGCCAGAATCTGTTCAGTTTTCATCGGAGAGTTTGTGCTCATCAACCAAAGGGAGGAGTCCTGGCTACAGCCAGCCACAGACAGCGTGAGTTTAATGGGAAAGAAACCGCCCTTCTTTCCCCTTTTCCCCTTCCCCTCCTGTGTGAGGGGGGGAATCTCCATTTTTGGCTTCTCCCGCGATCCGGGGCTCCCAGAGCCCAACAGCTCCCCTGCCAACCAACACTGAGCACTGTAGGCTCTGCTCCTTCAGTGACCCAACAGAGCCTGTGATTGGAATCGCACTAGAGGACAGAGAAGTATCAGACTGTTTCCTTTTTGAAGTGGACTTTTGGGTACAGGATTATCGTTTAGTTGTTTCTGTGTTCTTTTGCTGTTTTTGCCAATATACATATATTCTTTAATAAAGGGTTGTTATTTATTCCTTTTTTCCACACTTCCTCGGTTGGAGCCTCTTAATTTCGGATTTACAATTGCTGAGAGAGAGCAGTTTGGTCTACCTCATAACTCATCCTCCTTAGCAAAACACTTCAGTCTCCTTAAACTGAGACAGCCTTGAGTGACAGGACATGGGCCAAGAGCTTCCTACTGCCCGAGGGCAGGGTTGGATGGGATACTGGGAAGAAATTCTTCTCTGTGAGGGTGGCTGCCCCATCCCTGCAAGTGTTCAAGGCCAGGTTGGATGGGGCTTGGAGCAACCTGGGATAGTGGAAGGTGTCATTATTTCTGTCCCTGGTAGGGGTTGGAAAGAGATGAGCATTAATGTCCCTTCCAGCCCAAACCTTTCCATGACTCTATGACCTCATGACTCTATGATCTCATGACTCTATGATCTCATGACTCTATGACCTCATGGCTCTATGACCTCATGACTCTATGATCTCATGACTCTATGACCTCATGGCTCTATGACCTCATGACTCTATGACCTCATGTCTCCATGGCTCTGTGACCCACTGTGTCCTGGGGGTGGGGTGGGGTCGTTGCCTGGCAACGGGAGCTGTGATGAAGAGGGGCACGTGCAGCGCAGGCCCCAGTCCTTCGAGGGCCGAGGAAGGAGGAAGGAGCCTTCTGGCGACTGACCCGCTTCCTCATCGCTTTTGCTAATACGATTGATTAACTGTTTTGCTCAACCATTTTATCCACCCTATTGGTCATCCCTTTTACCATCCCTTTTGCTCATCCCTGGCAGATCCTGTCTGGGCAGGAAGGCTGTCTTTGCAGACATGGCGACTCCCTTGGACACTCTCAGCCTCTCCCAGCTGCTGGATCTCGCCATCGGGATGCCCCACAATGGAGCCATCCACTTTGCAGCCATGAGGAAACTGCTGCGGGCTGTACTGGGGCACCTGGACGTGCAGTACCTGACGGCCCAGGAGCCGTGGACAGGCGAGCTGAGTGGCCCCTCACTGGCTGAGTTGGCCGCTGATGTAAAACAAATGAAACAGGACATGGAATCCTATAAGAAACTCATGTCTGAGGTAGTGGCTCTTCCCAGAGCCCCTGGTCCTCCCCCACCAGTCAATCCCTCCCCACTTCCTCAGCAGTGCTTGACTCTGCCCTCACTGCCCAGGCAGCGCTTGGGCCGCTGGCAGAGCTTCCTGGCCCTTGGGATGGACTTCAGTGCTCTGGCACAGAGCCTGGCTCGGGCAGGCGGCACTGGGGCTCTGCCTGCTGACCCTGCCTGTGCCATGGGCTCCCCAGGGCAGGGCTGGGGGTCTTGGGGGACTTGCTGACAAGGGCTAACCTTGAACAACCCTTTTTGCCTAAACTGTTTCTCAGGAGATTAGTGGGATAAAGGCTGAACATTCCCAAGTGTCAAAGGACATCAGAAAGATCCTGGAGGTGCAGGTTTGTGCAGACCACAGTGGGAGTGAAGGTTGTGTTCCCCAGGGACACTCCACAGAGGCTCATCTCTGACACCCCTTTCTCCTACAGTCCCACATGGCAGAGGACATAAAGAGGCTCCAGGAAGAGTATTATCAGGTGAACTGCTGCTGTGAGACACTTGTGGCTCTGAGGCAGCAGCCAGTGGCCTCGGCTGTGCCGGCCGCAGGCTCAGCAGCCCTGGCCCTGCTGGATGCATGGAGAGTGCTGCCCGCAGTGCCCTGCCAGCCTGGCTGAGCCTGACCTGCACTGTCCCCTGTGCTGGGCACACCACGGCAGGGGGAAGGTCCTGCAGGTCCCCAGGGACCCTCCCCTGGGACTCACCCCCACCACCCCTCTCTCCTAGGCCATGTCTGACTACCAGAATCTTCGCGAGGAGATCGGCATTATTAAGACAACACAGTCTAACATGGCAGAGAAGATGAGAGAGACATTTGCATCGGTGAGCCACTGGCTGGTGTCACCTTTGGGTTCTTGTGGGATATTTGAGTGTGGCTGCCTGAGCTGGGAATTTGGGGTTGGGCCGGGGACAGGGTGTGAGGCCCTGGTTCTGCCCTGAGTCTGCCACCATTGTCCATTCCAGATGAAGAAGATGGAGGACGACATTGGAAAACTGAGGGAGGATGCAGTGAAGTGGAAAGAAGAGATCAGTGAGCAGATCACTCAACAACTGGAGTAAGAGGAGAGGAAAGGGTTTACTACCTTATAGGGCTGCAAGACAGCCCAGAGGATATGAGAGATCTTGGTTTGGGGGTAAGGGACATTGCCCAACCAGCCCTGGGGAGGCTAAGCCAGCCCCTACCCCATCTCGCTGGCCAGGTCTGTGCTACAGGAGACAAAGATTGAACTCAAGAAGATGGAGGAGCAGCAGGAGATGAGGAATGTCATGCTGGAAGAGATGGTGAACGAGGCAACCAACCAGATGAATGAGGCAACCAACCAGATGAAAGCTCAGGTGAGGTGCTGGGGGAGCACTCCCACTACCCACCAGCTCAGTGGAGGGGTCCTGACGGGGTTCCAGCCACATCCCCCATCTGGCTGGGGCCATCGAGCCCCACGGCACCCAGGTTTGCTGGCTGCATCCATCCCATCTCTGAGCAGATTCCTTCTGCCCTTCCTGCAGCTGGGCGAGCTGGGGGAGATAACAGGGGCTATGCAGAAGGACACAGAGATGGAGGAGCCAGAGTGTTCCAACTGCACCTTCAACATCAGAGTGTTTTTGAGGGAGCTTGTCAAGTGCTGTGAGAAACTCAAAGAGGAGGTGGACTCCCTGCAGTCCCGGCAGACAGCTGTGGGCAAGGTGGAGAACATCATAAAGCAAAGGAGCCAGGTAGGTAATTGGCATCACAGGGGACTTGGGAGTGAGCTGATGGCATTCCCTGGCTGGCTGTGCTTTGCTGTAAAATGTTGGGGAGTCCATCACTGCTTGGACCAGTCAGCAGCATGGAAGGAAATTAAAGCCTGGGTGCAAATGTCCTGTTGACACTGAGGACTTGTGGAACCAGACTCCCCTTGCTAAGCATCATCTTTTCTTCCTCCCTGGAGCAGGACCAGCAGCTCCTGCAGCACATGGAGAACAAGGTCAGGAAGATTCAAGGGGACTGTGAGGAGCTCAGCTTGGTCTCAGGGAACCTCCAGAAGGACTGTGAGGAAAAGCAGAAAGCTATTGAGGTGGGTGGCTGAAAGTCCTGTGGAGTCAGAGCATCCCTCAGGCACACTCCAGCCAGGGGACCACAAGGAATCTGCCTCCCTGCCAACCTGCTCACAGCCCTGAGCGGGTTCCAAGGGCGTTTCCCAGAGGATTTTGGATAGGGGGAGCAGGGGCTGCTCAGCTGACCAGGAGGCAGCTCCAGCCCTGCTGCCATGTCATGGGATGCTTTCTGTGTTGAAAGATGCTGTTCCAGTCCTTGGAGAAACTGCAGAAGGAGAAAGCAGATGAGCAGAAAATGTTGCAGAACATGTTGACGACAATGGATGTGGTACAGTCTCGAGGGCCCTCTGTGCCAACCCAGGGCTTCCTGGGCAGGGTGACAAGTGCCCCTTGTGCCTTGGGGGCTGTTTGGCAAAAGTGGTCTGGGAGAGGGAGGATTTCCAGACCAAGTGCAGGTCCCTTGTCCCTCCACGGGTGGGAACAACCCCATGGGGGTGATGGGGTGAATGGGGCCACCCTGCCCTGGAAGGGGCACGATGGCACGGAGGGAGTGCTTCTCCCTCTGCCCCTGACACACCCTGGCCCTACCTGTCATTCCTCAACCTTTTCCCCTCTGATCTCCTGCCTTTCCCCTCTGCTAGAAAGCAGACAAAAATGCCTTGGGTAGCAAAGTCAATTGCACCCAGTTTGAGGCGAGCATGGAGCGACTGAATCAGAGGCTGCGGAAGATGCAAAGTCAGGTGTTGGGACAGAATGAGCACTGGAACGAGCTGCAGGAGAAGCTCAGCCACAGGATAGAAAACAAGGTGAAGAGTGCCTCATCCACAGTGTGCAAAACTGGCACCTTTGGGTCTTGGCAGCCTGAGGCAGCATCCCTCTGAGGGTCCCCCTCTTGGATTTTCCCTGGAGACAGCCATGTCCCATGCCGGGGCAACTGGCTGAGGGTGTGCACCTGTCCACAGCTGGATCGTGGGGAGCTGAAGGCTTTCCATGAGAAGATGGAGGAGACCTGGAAGAAGAGCATCAAGGAGCTCGAGAAGAAGATGATGGCTGACAGCGCTGCTGGGCTGAGGAAGTGAGTGGGATGGGGATGGCAATGGCTTTGGGGACAGCGATGGTGCTGTTCCCTCCAGCTGTCCCAGACAGTGCCCACGTGGTACCCTGGCACTGCATCAATTTAGCCACCAAACAAACCATGGCAATGCTGATGAAGCAGCTGCACCTTCTCCTTCCACCAGCAGCAGGTTCTGCACAGGACAGGAGGCACGAGGAGGGGGCAGCTGTGGGACAGAGCCCTCCCAAAGCAAAGGGGGCTGTGGCTGCAAAGGCTTCCAGAAGCAAGGCTGGGAGATGGGCACTCCTTCCCCTGGCAGGGGTGTGACATGCAGAGCCCCAGGGCTGGGTGGTGCCCTGCCCTCCTGGCCAGGCACAGGGGGGTCATTAGTGCTGCTGAAGCACTGCAAGCAGTGCAAGGGCTGCTTGGGATGGCAGCGTGGGCCCTGTGCCCTTCAGCTGGCACCAGCCAGTGGGTTGGGGAATGGGGAGAAACCAGGCCCCACAGCCACGGTTGGCCCTGCAGACGCCGTGACTCCCTGCAGTGCCGTGCCCAGCACCTTGCTGCTGCCAGCGAGCTGCTGCCTGCGGGTGGGCAGGGCTGTGTCCCCCCAGGAGCTCAGCCAGCCCTTTTGTCTCCCCCTCCTTAGGCAGCTGCCAGCCCCTTTCACGTGCCTGTCCTGTGACCGCCCGGTCAAAACGCAGGTTCCTGGCCCGTGAGTATCACCTCTGCTTTGGGGGGGCTGCGTGAGTGGGATGGGGCTCAATGGCTGCCAGGGGTGACCTGCTGTGCCAGGCACAGGGGTGAGGGTGTCTGCTTGGGAGGGTCTGACCCTGCTGAGCCCCCTCCTCAGCCCTGCCCATCAAGAGGGGTTGTGGGTGCTCATCCCCAAGGGCTACAGGCAAGGGGTGCTCTGGGCTACAAGCCTGTGGGTTCTGGGGTACTGCCCCAAGCAAGTGTGGGTTATTTGTCCCCTGTCACCAACCTGCGGTTTCTGCCCTCCCCAGGTGTCCTGAGACACTCCCATATTTTCAGCCGATGCCCCCCAGCAAGGACGCACAGCCCACCCAAAGGTAGGGGACCTGAGGACACAGCCCTGGCTCCTGGGGTGCAGGATAGCCCTGCCCTAGCAAGGAGAGCTCTTCCCTGCATGGGGGCAGAGGGGCCCTGTGGGCCTGAGCAGTGCAGGGGAGCAGAGGGAGGGCTGTGGGGAATCAGTGCTTGCCCGAGGTCTGGAGGGTTTTAAAGCCCTCTTTGCACTCCCCTGTGCTGAGCACTGATCAGTCCTGGAACCATCCCACAGGAGAACGGCGGCCAGTGGCAGGATCGCCCGCGCGCTACAGAGCACTGGGGACCATCAGAGGATCAGCCACCTGGTGCAGCGTATCCAGGCTTCCCCCTGGAACAACACGCGACCACAGGGCCTCATGGCACCCCCCAACAAGGTAAGGAAGGCAAAGGCATGGACATGGCAGGGGTGACCAAGGCTGGGAGAGTGAGGCTGAGGGAGAATTTGTGTTTTCAGCTGCCCCAGGGAGAGCTGGATTGGGAGGGTTGCTGGGGGATGATGTGTTGGGCCACATGTTGCAACCAGCTGCTCTCTCCTTCCCAGCCTAGTGTGACCAAGCTGCTGGGCAGCAGTAGCCACATCTCTAAGGGCCAGAAGGACCAGCCTCCTGTTGTGAACAGGGCACAGGGTGAGATGGGTACATCCCTGTCAAGGCACAAGACCAGAGGGAGGGGGTACTGGTTGTATGCTGGGGAGGGGGCTGGGGTGGGATGAAGGAGGCAGAAACAGGATGGAGCAGGAGGACTGGTGGATGGGGTGACTGGGGCTGGGGGTGGAGCAAGGTGGGGAGATGGCCCTGGCCAGCGTGGGACAACAGCTTGTGTGCTGGTGGGTGGGTGGGGACCAGCACCCCCAACCCTGGGGGTCTCTGGACAGGCAGGTGTCCCTGCTGCCTGCCACGTCCTGGGCTGGCAGCGCTGCCCCAGCCGGGGGCTGCCCCTGGGAAGTGGGGAGCTCACCCTTCCCCCTCGTCCCCAGGCCCTTCCACCTCACAGGAGCAACGGCCAGCCAAGACCTGCAAGCCCAAGCACGTCTCCTGGGCACCGGAGCTTGTCCAAACACCCCTGCCCTGCTAAACATCACCTGCCCCCAAGCAGCCAGACAGGACTGGACGCTCAGTACTCAACAGGGGACGTCTCTTCAGCAGACACAGAAGTCTGTTAAAATTAACCTCCAAAAGAGGTTTTATTAGGTTAATAATAAACCTTCAAAATGCAGACAAAGCCTGGTCCCACCAGCCTCTCTCTTCCTCAGGCTCCCTGATGCTCCTCAACCTTTCTCCTCCCTCCTGTCTCTCTGCCACCAGGCTGAGCACATTGTGCCCCGTGGCCAGGACTTGAGGCTGGCCCTGGTCCCGTGGCACCTTGTGGGGCAGCTCTGAGGATCTGGGGCCTGCTGTGGAACCAGGAGCAGCCCAGGGTGCGCTCAGGCCAAGGGGCTGCAGAGCCCGAGCCCCTCTTGTCCTTCAGCTGCACTGGAAATGGCTTCAGGCTCAGCTGCTCCATGCCCTTCCCTGGGATGGAGGTGAAGCCTCTGCTGGTCACCTCCCTGCTCCTGCTCCTCCTCGCTGTTCCTGGGGAGGGGGTGGCCCAGAGGCACCGTGTCCTGGTGCGGAGCAGCTTTTGAGGAGGAAATTAGCAATTTTTGACAAGGACACTGGTTAGGCAGCAAAAGAATGGGGAAGAAACAGCCCTGCCAGGGAAGCAGCACATTCCCAGCCCTGATTTTAGCCCTAGGGCTGCCCAGCTGTGGTACCCCCAGGAGATGGGACACAGGCAGCCCCTACAAAAGCCAAATTGCACCTTTAGTTGTTCATAGGTCTCCCAGCACCAAGCAGAGACCTGGATCATGTGCCACCTCCAGAGGGGACATCCCAAAGGGACATGCCGTTGGGTGCATGGAGCATTGGGTACATACTATTGGAATATGGACCACAGGTGGCCACAGCATGGCCAGTTAGAGCAGGGCAGCCGCATCCACACAGAGATGCCACCTCCATGTCTTGTCCCTATGCAGAGAGGCCACTTCCTGCCTCATCCCCTACCTCACTCCTGGACTGAACACAGCGCTGACTCACCTGTCCAGCTCCAGGCATGAGCAGATCCCAGGGCTGAGGTCCCTAACTCGGATGAGGAAGGACATCCCAGGCATCACCTCTCCTGAGTCTCCTGAGTTTCCCAAGGAGCATCACATGTGGCAAGGTCCCCATGCCACCCTCATCCCACCCCTTTGCACACAGCAGTGCTGCGTCCCGGCCTGGGCTCTGCTCCATGGATGGATATTAGGACAAAAAGCAATGCAAAGATTACTGTTGGCAGAGTTTACCTGGTCCTCCACTGTGATTCAGGCATCTTTAGACTTCATGTTTTATTAATCCTCACTGTACAGTTAATGGCATTGGAAGGTGATGCCTGCAAAGGCCTGTGCTGCAGCAGCCTCTCCGTGAGATACAGGGGCTCGAGCACTTCCTTGTAAATATGCACACTGAGGAATTATATAGTGAGACTACACAAAAGATGGAGCTGGAGTCCTGAGCAGGAATATGATGCTTACAGCCTTTGCCTCCTGCCCCTGCCCAGCCCAGGGAAGGGCTGGCTTGATAGAAAACTCGCTGTTTTCTGCCAGCTGTACTGGATAAAGCCTCCTGTCCACAAAACCTGTTTTCTTCCCTCCAGGAGTGTTGGCTGGAAAAGGGGGCTTGCTGGTGACCTGTCAGCCACCATGGGGACAGCTCAACAGCCACTGCTGGAGCCGTCCTCCCCCTCGGCAGTGAAGACAGGATAATGGAGCAGAAGGTCACAAACCTCCCTGAAGCCACTGCTCAGGACTGAGCTGTGACAGTGGGATCACCCACAGGAGCCACCACCAGCTCCCCACCCCAGCACTGGGAGAGGATCCCACCTTTCAGTCCTTCCCAGCTGTGGAACCTTAGGACCTGACCTGAGTGAGCAGCAACTGCCTCCAAAAGCCAAGGGCAGGAGTGTAGCACCTTCATCAGCTCCCCATACTGCACCAGCACTAGGCTGAGCCCTATGGACTTTCTGTGACTGGAAATTCCTCCCAATAAAGTTCAAATGAATTATTCTTCTTCCAGCCCTTGGAGGACAGTGAAGCCCATGGACAGTGAAGCAGCAGCACCCACTCCAGAAATAAGCCATGTGGTGACCCAGGGACCCACTGATCTTGCCCTGCTGTTTTAGGAGAACCCGAGACCCTGCACTGCACAGGGTCAGGGAACTGCTGGAGAGACAAAGTCCCAAGTTATTTGTTCTTGACAGCAACTCTTACTCACCTTGAAAAAGGAAAATCAGGGACCACACTGCAGAGACCCTGTTACAGCTGTATGGACAGTTTTTATGGTGCTGTCATCAGTCATCTGTAACTTTCTCAGGGCCTTGCTCTGGAACCAGCCCACCACCTGCACATCTCACCTGCTACTGGAAAGAATTTAAAACTTCCAGGTAATCATGGTAATGGAGAATTTTAAATCCAGGAACAGGAAGAGCCAGAAAGCAAGGGGAAAAGCATTCCATTTTTTCCTGTATCTTAGGGCAGCTGGCAATATGTTCCTATAAAGGATCTACAGCCACTGGGTGCAGGAAAACACAGCAGGAAGAGACGGATGTTTTGTTGCTGTATGAGCAGTGCCAAGCCAGGGCACAGGCAGTCAAGGAAGTTTCCAACTGAGATGCTGTAGAACGAAAAAAGCACCAAGCCCTGGAATAAATCCCTCCAGTCCTGCCTCATCAGTGATAGTAACCACACAATGCTCAGAGCATCCATATGGGCATGGGGTAGGAACACGAGGAGAGGCAGGAGGCTGGGAGCTGGCAGCTCCTCCCAGACTGTTCCACTACAGTTCCCATTTCCCAATTCCCTGTAATTCCCACTGATCCCTTTCTCTGAAGGTTTGTGGTAGGTGAGCTGGAAGGGATGAGGATGACCCGACCCCAGCCTCTGGAAAATGAAGGTGGCACCAATCAAACTGGAGTGGGTGCAGTGCAGCATCCTGTAACACTCCTCACCTCTGGGCATTGGGGATGTGTCAGTGAGGGACGGGGGAGATAATCATAGGGGAAAATCACCATGGATGAATCAATACCACCACCACCCCACAGCTCAGGAGATACCTGACAGCAGGAGCTGCCCCAGGTGTTGGGCCTGGCTGTCCTCACCTCTGGCACGGGATGCAGGAGAGCAGAGGCCACTGGGTGCCAGCTCTGGCACAGCTCACGCCCAGGGCAACTCTGCAGCCTCCCAGGCAGCTGCAGAGCCCAAAGACAGATGGCTCAAGGTCACTGCTGTGGCTCAGGGCAAGGGGGACAGTGCCACAGCCCCATGTCCCCAGCCCCTTCCAGCTCCTGCTCCGCAGAACACCCTGAACACACCCCAGCAGCCCCGGGGTGCCCGACTTCAGTCACAGAGTTTATTGTTTAGTACGAGCTCACCACACCAGCAAGCCAGGACAGGGGGGTGGTACATGAATACAGATGTGGAGGAGTTACACAGACAGATTTGTACAGCTTTTGTACAGAGGAAGAAAATGAATCAAATAACAAAATAGACATTAGCAGTCAAACCTTTTTTTTTTTGTCTTTTTTTTTTTTTTTATATCATACTAACAAAATCTGATAGCCAAAAAATGACTAAGCTACAAAATTGTAATACATACTGTACGGGTAAAAGGTTATCATCCATTTATACATCTAGTATTGTCTTTATTCTGGTAACTTACATGAGGCCTATAGGATCTTAGTGTATTAATAACTCCCTACAGATAGTGCTGAGCTGCTAAAGCTGCCAAATAATGGAGTACTAGAATTTTTGTTAAGACTTTTACAGTGTAATTTGCATCATTTTGTTTAATGAAACCCTCATGCATCTCTACTGCAAGCCAGAGGAGCTGCTGGTGGCTGGGGTGAGGCAGGAGCTGTAAGGCCTTGGCTGGCAGCCTGACACAATCATTCCATAGGGCACCAGCACGGTGCTGCCCCTTGCTCCAGCTCTCTGGATGCTGCAGGAGGGATAAAGCTGAAATCCCCAAGCAAGACTGATTCTTTTCCCTTTGGTCTTGTGAGTTAGAGAAGAAATCACTCAACACAGAGTAGTCTCCATTCCAAAGGCTTTTTTTCACTGGATAGCAGCTCAGCTTTCAGCAGAAAAGCATCACTAACTGTCAGGGTAATGCCACTGGCCCTGGGGCTGCTCCCACAGCCGGGGTGCTGGTCCTTCCCTCGGAGCCCAGAGCTCCAGCAGTGCGTGACCTCCTGCTCCCAACCCTGCAACTCTGGGGCACGATGCTCAGGACCCAGCTCCAGATGGAAAACCAGCGTGGCACTCCTGGGCTGGGAGAAGGGCTGGGGAGAGCACAGCCCCCCACACCAGCTCTCGGGGATCGAGATAAGAGCAAGGCTGAAGCGGGAGGGGGGGTGAAGGCACAAACAGGAACCAGCCCGGATCGACAACAGGAGATGGTGCGTCAGCGCTCCAATGCCCTTGGAAATCTCTCCCGAAGAACCAAGCCAGCGAGAACAAGTATTGTGAAGTACTTTATACACCACCACATAGGCAAAAATAGCACTCAAACGTACAAATAAATAGAGGGGCTGGGGAATCTCCTCCTTGTCCTTTCCAAGTCTGTCCCTAGTTTGGTCTCTTATAACCTCAGAAGGGCAGCCAGAGGCCAGTGCCCTGGGGAAGCCTGTGCCAATTTTGGAGAGGGAGGACATGACTGAGGTCTAACCCCTCCTGGCCCCTTACACAGGGTTGGGCTGAAGCCCAGATGACACGTGTGACAGCATGTCCTGTTGGTGTTGTGGTTGGTCCCATTTGGGAGCAGCTCCCATGGACCTGCACCCCAAGGGTGTTGGGAGCTTCACCCCACTGCCCATTTGGGTACAGCCCTGCAACAGGACAACCACAGAGCCTCCACAGAGAGCCAAGCAGTGCTATCAGCTCCTGGCTGATCCTTAGGGACCAGTACAGCTCTTTACAGCCAGAAAAGACCATCAGCACCAACTCTCAACCTGCTCTGACTCATCTGCTGCTGTTCTGCACTGTCACCCGAGCTGAACGGGAAAAGCCACAGGTCTGAGCTGTTCTCAGAGGATGGTCCCCAGGAGGAGGCAGGAGCCAGAGGCTCCTCCAGCCTGACAACTTCAGATCTGATTAACAGAACCAAATAAATGGTCCCCATAACCAGTCCTGGTGAATCCTGCCCTGTACAGAGCCAAAGGGAGGTGGAAAGCACAGGTATCATTCCTCTGTAGGTGAAGGCAGCTGGTCACAAGTCACCAGAAGACCTATCAGGGAAAATAACTTACAAATCAGAATGGGGCATCCCTCCTGCAAGGGCCCAGGAAGCCCTGGGAAGCTGCAGACATGACTTTAGAGACCATCCAGCAAACAGGAGCACTTTGGGAAACACCAGCCCTAAATTCTTAAAATTTAAAACAGCAGCTCCCAGTGAGGTATCTCTATTGAGGGCTGTAACAAATGAACACTCCCTCTGGGACTTTCCTAAATCACTTAGAAGATGAATACACCACCAGGAGGATTTTGGAGACCACCCTAGGGAAACTCCCAGAGCTAGGCAGAGATGTGGCAATCTTTCCCGAAGAAACACTCTACAAGGCAGGATGGGATCCCATGTGAATTACTTCCAGCCAGTTCAATCCCAGGCTCTGCCTTCCAGTGCCATGTGCCAGATTTCTGCTGTGCTTTCTGACCTGCTTTACTCCCCTGAAGCCCCCTTCCTCTCCCAGCCTCCTTTGAAGGATGGGAGACCACTAATCATGAGTGAGCAGGGTCAAGTATTCAGCATCATCCTCCTCATGGCAGAATTGCAGCCATGAAGCCCAAGTCTTTCCCAGGTTGCTTCTGGCTGCCCATCCTTCCAGGAAGCAGAAGTCCAGCAATCCTTACTATGAATAAGTAACACAACTATGCAGGAAATCAGGGCAAAAAGCAATGGAGCTGATGTGCCATCATGTTCACCTGCCTGGGATCTGGCTCAGATCTCCTCTCCCAGTGGTCTCTTCCATCCTGTCCCTTCACAGATGCCTCATCATAACACGAGAGCTCATAAGACTGGAGGAGTTGGGCATTAACGGGGGAAACCTGGTAAAATATTGCTGTGACTGTTCCCTGTGGTACTGAACAGTGAACCTGAGCTGGGCTCTCTCACACCTTTAAGAGCACATTGTCCCCCTCCTCTGCCCTCGTGTCCTTTGGGAGCTGAGGTCCAAAGTTAGAGTAAAGCCTTGGGAAGAAGGCACAGGATCCTTGCCTGGGTCTGCACTGCTGGTACAGACACGAGAGCTGTGCAGGCTCCACTCCTGGATTTCCCCTCCTCCAAATACTCACACTCAGGCCATACCAGAGTCAGTATGAGCGCTCACAGCAGCACCTTCACCTCATCCATCCCAGGTTATCCCACTGAAGAGCCAAGGACAGCTCTGGAAAGTGCCAGGCAATTAGCTGATACATTAAACAGGCAAGGAGGGAACCTTCTCCTCAAGCCATCTGTCCCACACTGACTGCCCCCAACATGGAGCTCCCAGGCCAGTGATCCTGAGATCCAGCATCTATGGATCTTGAGTTCAAAACAGACCCAATAAAACCCCAAGGAGTGAGGGGGGTCAGGCTGGACAGGCTGTGGCATGGGACATCAGCAGGTCTGCTCAAAGATCTCACTGCAGGAAGAAAGGCCACCAACACCTGAGAGAAGTGTGCCTGTCCCCAAACTCAGAGCCACCACAGCTCCTTCCCCAGAAACAGCAGGGGGGGGGAGAAACAAAATAAATATTCCTCTGAAATTGGATTATTTCCCACAACATGCTATGATACAAGAAGTAAGTGCAGCCTCTGTGCTCTAAAACAGTGATGTCTTCTGCAATGGGAGGAGGGGAACACGTCCCCACACCCTGTTTTCCTCATGCCAGCAGGTTTCACTCACTTGTGCAGGTCCTCAGGACATCAGGGTGGGTGGGAGTGAAGGGACAGACCCCGTGGGAAGTGTGCAGCCCCTGGGCACACACTTTGGAGTTGGACACCACAAGCAAATCCCTTTGCAGCTCCTGTGGGGTTACTGGGACTCGCTGGCACTTCAGCCACCGGTCGGGGCAGCTGCCACCCAGACCACGTCAGCTGGTGGGGCAAGGGCAGCTCAAACAACACAAATTCCACAGTCAAAACCAATACAAGTAAGAAACCAAACCCAGAGAGATCCTTCTGCTCCCTCCTGGAACAATGGCTGTCTTGGAAAACTGGACTCCAGGATTGTCCTGATTACATCAGTTACTACATTATAAACATTGTCCTTCTTTGAAGTGAAAATACTGTGTGTGGTCTTTTGGAGGTGCTAAAAGCCAGATGTGGTGTTGTTTTTCCTGACTGTGCAGAGGAGCTGATACTGGCGTGAAATGATCCTCTTCACCTCTTCTCTATCAGAGCTTCTCCTGGAAGAAAACAGACCCTGTCAGGCAAAATGAGACAAGCACAGAGGTCTGTTCTGGAAGAGGACACTGAGGCATGGAGTGGAATGCCATGTCCTGACCCACTGCTCTCCCAGTGAGTCCCTCAGACTGGCCATCCTGCCTGCAGGGAGATGAAATCTGAAGCTACAGGTCTTGTCCTGAATAATGAAAACCGAGACCAGGACAGCATCCCACAAATGCCACCCACGTAAAGGGGATGGCAGAGATCTGAGTCTGAGCAGGTTCTAGCTGGGGCTGCCAGGAGAAGAGTCACACAGCACTGACCCAGGACACTGCAGTGCTTCTCTGCTTTCCCACTGCTCCTCCCAGGGCAAGCACCCACCGTGAGGTTCCCACCACACTTGGGAACTGGAGATGTGCAAAGCCTCTTCCTTTCAATGTGGGAATGATACAGTCAAGCTTTTGCTGGCAGAACTGCCCCATCCAAGTGCTGTGCCCAGCGCAGCAGGCAAGAAATCACACAAAGCAGCCACTGTTTGGAACAACATCCTGCTCATAACTTACCTCTTGCTTGTGGGATTTATCCTGCTGGTGAATCCCGTTAGAAGACCCAGAATTTCCAACAGTCTGCAATGGAGAACAGACAATTCTTACTGGAGAGGGACAGATCCTGGTGGTTTTGCTTACAACACCGAAATCTGGTAAAGCTGACGTGTCCTTCCTTAGCTGCCCACTTCACACAAGGAAAGGAGGATACAAATATCCCAGCCCACTTCTGGCAAGAAACTTCCTGCCCTCTATGCCCTGGTCCAATCCCCACCATCCCTCCCAGCTACAAAACATCCCCTGATTTCCTTACAGACACAGACCCACTCTTCACTCCCACCTCTTAAATCCCCAAAAGCAAACCCTCAGCCAAAGACAGTGTTAGCTGCAAAAACATGGCACACTGAACATCCAGCACTGAAAAGGACATTTGCCACTTCCCATCTCCAGAGACAAGTCTGGCAGCCAGGACAGGCTGTTCTATCTTTAAAAAGCACAAGAACTTTTAAACATTTATAATGTTTCTTTAGCAGGGATAATATGGAGCCCTTCAGCTTCAAAATGACAGCATAGCCAGCACAAGCAAGAGAAGAAAGCTGCAGCCTGGAATCCCAGCATTCCACTTGACACAGCAATTACCACAGAAGCTAAAGCCACTCTGGAGGTACCAACAGGATTATGGTACATCTTGGACTGCCACAAACTTGTTGTCTGGGCCAGCAGAGCTTTCAGGGCTGCAGTTTTTACCTTGCACCCTCCTCCCAACCAACTCATGTGCCACTGCAATGCAAACAGGGTTTGGTGTATCCAAAGGGGATTGTCATGGGGGGGTAGAAGGCTTGATATCCCCAGATTACCCACCACAGCATATCTACACCTGCATCAGGGAAAACAAGCTCTCAGCCCATTCTCTGTACTACCCTAAGGTACATTACTGCAAGAGAAAGACATTTTTCAGCTAAGTATTTAAGTGAGTAAGTATGAGAGGAGCACTGGTACATCTGGGCTCTGAAAGCCACGGCCTGGCTGCAGAGCCAAGGGAAAATACAGCTGGAAGAGCAATCAAGGACAGGAAGCACAAAGCAGGTCACTTTGCAGGAGGAATCAGTCAGGGCTGAGACACCACACGTATGAGATGGAAAAGCCAAATGTTGAGAGTCAATTTACTTGTAGCCTTTACTTTCACAAAGAATGATGCAAGACAGAAAACAGAAGCAGTTTTCTTTTAGTCAGAAGAAACAAAGGGAGACCAGAGGAAGTTGGGAAAAGAAGATAGTAACTGGAGTGGGAACATTCACAGTCCACCAGCAAACCCACATTGGACAGAGAGGTGCCTCCAGGAACTGGTAAGAGTGGAAAACATTTTCCCAGGGCAATTTCTCCAAAGTTTCTGCCTATGGACTGCACAGAAATAAACCTCTCAAAGAAGAGGGATGGCAGAGAAACCTCAACTTTCATGTTCTAAAGTGCCTGTACTGCAAGGCCGTGCAGCCACATGACACTGCACACACAGAGAACAGTTACTCACACTGCAACTTCCCCAAAACACCACGTTTAGCAACCGTTCTCCAGAGCACAGAGGGATCTGTGATTACCAGCTAGCAGGGATTTTACAGCTTTAAGCTACATCTGACAGAAGAAGGCTCCAGCAGGGAGAAGGCGACCCAGCCGAGGCGTCTCCCCGGAGCACAGGGCAACATCCCGGGGGATTGCTGAGGGCTGAGCGACCCCGGAGGTGGCTGCTGATGCCCTACCTGTGTTTTCTCAGAGGAGAGCCTCATCGCTTCCATGAGCTTCTCCATCTGGTGTCCCTGCTCCAGCGCGTTGCGCAGCACGTCCTCCGTGCTGACGAGCCGGTGCTGCAGCCGGATCACCTCCGACTCCGACGAGGGGTCGATCAGGGAGTATCGCCGCTGGTCCGGCACCGACTTCTCCTTGTCCTTGGACAGCAAAGGGAAAAAGAGGAGCACGTTAGATCAAAACCAGCAACTACAGAAACTCAAAGTGCAAACCCACGGACCCACGTAACTCCTAGAGCCACGCTGCGATTCCAGCAGCAGACGGGGGCCGAGCACAGCTCCTGCCAAGTGC